ACAAAGTGTATTCCTAATCTAATGTTGTTTTGTTTCCCCGAACTGCTTGAGGATCCAATAACAAAGGCGGGCGTCCATTACGTAAGGTCAAGAGATAGCTTAATCTAACCACGTCATCTGCTCCTTTCCCCCTGGAGATTCACAAATGTTCTATTTATCTCCATTACGAGCCATCCTACGAACGGCGAACGCTTGAGCTCTTGATCCTGTAGTCCATAATGTGTTTTGGCCATTTTCTCCAAGGTTCTACAGCTATGCCTATCTACAGGGTGTCCCAAAAAGATGTTCACACTGTTTGGTCGTTAAACACTCTCTTGCTTTCATGTCTTTTGCCGAGCTTGAGATACCGTTCTGTACAGAGCTTCAACTTATGTAGATATACAGTAAAGAGCGAATTATCAGTCGCTCTTCATAACTGTAGAATTACTGTAAGGACTTCGAGGAGGATTTTAGGCCATTGAAAGCGGTATTCTGCTTCAGAAAGAAGTCAAAAAAGCCAGAAACTTTTGAACTGGCTTAATAGAAGTTGATGATTTTAAATATGTAAATTGCGATTCAGTATAGTGATTCTATCACAAGTTTCCGATTTAGGGTAACAACTGTTTTCCAATATTCGTCAAAATGTGAATACGCCATCAAGAAAGCTCGAAAAATTGGTGAAAAATTTTGTAATGAAATTAGTAAGTAAAACCTTGCTTTCAGATTTTTTTGAAATTATTTCATCCAAAGGCCTATTCCACAGTGATGCTGTATGCTGAAAGTTTATACCGTAATCCTACAGTAATGAAGAGTGATTGATGATTCGCTCCACACTGTAAATCTAACGAGGGAAGGATACTTGGTGACCGTGGCGTTTTTCAATGAGATGCATACTAGTAGGTGCGTCTTGGAACGCTGATTCTAAATTTATGTTCAATATCTGCTGTGCGACTCCCTGAACGAAGTTATGAACCTTTTTCCATGCTGTTTTTGCGAAATTTAGGCGGACAAAATCGTCAGTGTCTAGGCTTTTTTGACTCTGATGTATCGATGACAGTTTTCTTGAGCAGAACTTGAAGCTTTACTTTATCTGTACGCTCTTTTGTGGTGCGTAATCGAACATTTCAACGATATTGGTGAATCCTGCACCAAAAACAGTGCAAATTTTGGTGACAAAAAATGTTCATAACTTCTTTCGGAGGAGAGCACAGCATATAATCAAAACGGATTTGGAATCAGCGCTTTAATATGCATTTAATGGTGTGCTTTTCATTTTAAAAGGCCACGGTCACCAAGTATCCTTTCCTTGTAAGTTGAACCTTGTTCTATAGAATGTTACCTCAAGCTCAGAAAAGAACATGAGGGCAAGAGAGTTATCAACGATCAAACAATGTGCACATCTTATTGGGACACTCCTGATTTGAAAAGAAGCTATCCATTTGATAAGAACTTTCCCACAATTTCAGTGTATGGGAGCAAAACTAAAATGGATAAGCCAAAGGATTTGGCTCAAAGATTCCGCAGTACACTGGCTAATTTTTACTTGTATAGAAGCCATTTCTTGCAAACTTCATTTTGTGGAGCTTCCTATGTACACGAAGTCTCATGCAATTTCAACAGAGACTAAATGTTATGTTTATCTTGTTTGGCTTTTGTTGTTTGAAATCCACAAAAAAGTGGAATTTTCAACGTGTTTCAGTTTGCTGAAGGAAGTCTTGAGAGTTATTTAAAGCATCGTCAAAAATAAGACTTCTACAGACCTCATAAATAATTGCTGTATCATTTTGTGCACAAAACATCTTGATCGAGAGTGGTTGGTAGTAGTTTGGCTTCATAAAATAACTGGACCTCTGCGTACTTTGTGGGACATAAACAGCATAATGTAGTAATGACAAAGAGCTGCAAATTCTAACAAATTTGGTGCAGTCCAAAAATCACTTCTTCTTTGAGCTATGCTAATCCAAACTAAAGTTGCAAGATCACAGCTTGATCAAATAATTCCGTTCCTTTCAGCCCTCCACTGCTTTCATTTGATATATAAACAAGTTCAGTATAGACTGACTCAGATGTCTGCACCGTTTTAGCTATCGCAGAGTTCGGACTAAAAAAAACTTTGATTAAATGGAATAGATCCAGATCAACAACTCTTTCCCTCTTCCCCTCCCCCCCCTCAAACTATTTTTGTGAAAGTCAAGGATAATTCAGATTTGGCGGAATTTTGAGCACATGGCAAAAAATGTTAAAGCAAATTGCCAGATGTCTGTGCATCCAAAAGATTTCTATTGTAAAACAATGAAAGGGGGAGAAAAAGATGTATCGTATGCATATTTAAGTGCTTTTAAGTCATTATTACATCAGGTTTTGAGTTCGTGCGGAAAAACGGAAAAGATTTGTGCCCCCCCCCCCACACACACACATATTATTTGTAAGATCAAAAAAGGTAGTATCCTCCTGCTGGTTTCGGCATTACTTTCGCTAATCAAGTATTGTCTCTTTTATGGTGCAATCATACGCATACATATCGTCGAGTCATTTGCCTAATGTGTATTGCACATCATGCGCGATACTTGACGTCTTGTAAGGTTATAACCTGTTCATTTTTGGTAATTTCTCCTAGGTATCGCGTGGTTACAAATTTCAAAGTTTGTTACGTTAGAAAAGGTTTTACCGAGGAGTTACTAGTAAGGGTATCTCCGATCGCCGCGCATAGTGTGCACACTCACATATTGAGTTACAAAACATGTACTATATAGTGCAGCTACCGTAATCAATCTTACCTTCAATCATTCGCATTGATTTAAGAACATAATAATATATTCGCAGACGGTGATGTCAGAACTGTTCTAGTCTATGACGCTCGAGTGCCCAAAATGCTTCTCATTTTTTCATCCAAAATTCGTAAGTGCTTTTTTATAAGCGCCATGTGAATTCACCAAGAATAGCGATGAAATATGATGCTGTGTCTGGAGAAAAAAATCGTTTGCAAAACGTAGCTTTTGCAAAGTGCGGTTCTAAAAATAGCCGTCCTATCTGCAATTTCATCTGGACATCTTGCAGTTTCCGGCCCGTTCAAGTTGTAACAATCCGTCGGAAAAAGCTATTGAATGAAGAATTGCGACCGAGAGGCAATTCTTCTTCATTTTTTACGTCACTCTATCAAAGAAGAACGAGCTGCCGGGGGAATTACCCACCTCTGAGCGGCATTTCTATTCCTACTTCGTGCTCTGCCCTTTGTGGGATGTGTGGAGCTAACAAATTTTTGAGAAACTCAAAGTTGGCGTTTTTGTTGATACATTTTCAAAAATTGAAAATTTTTGAAGTCAAGATTATGCTTTTGGCCAACAATTATTCTGGTCCTGATCTGCTACTATCAAGTTCACGTACATCTTTCGTTAGTTCATCTACTCCATTATTCTGTCTCAATATCGTTCTCGTCTTATTTGAGTAAAATCTTATGTCATTCTTTCAACAGAAATGAGTTTGTCGAAGACAAAAGCGTTTTCAAGTATGGGAGCAAGTCCCAGGCGTAAGTCACCAATTATGGAACGAGAACGGAGAGGAAAACTTTTTCGATGGGGTAAAGTGGATGGCTCCGAAGATCTAGGTAAGCCTTGGTTGAGCAGAAGAAGTAAAAATGTTTTGATAAGTCTGTTGAACAAAATAGATCGTCTAACTTCTGAGAGCAACATTTGGTAACGGAGAAGTAGACCTCCTACAATTTTAGTGGAGCTTTTCCCTGTTTTCCAAGACAGCCTGAAATTATAATTGTTATGAATGCTATAGCAACTACTCTTTATTGAGTAAATTGTTGTCTTACTGTTAGTGTAACGATAATCCGTAAAAACTTCAGACTCCCCTCAATTCTTGATAACTATATTTGTAATCTATACCAAGGAAACATTTCCTTTGGGTCCTTGTGTTCATCATCAAGTTGCGAGCGGTATTCGTATAAATATTGGTCCTAGGGTTTTTAGTTTGATTGCTGGGGGCATATACAGTAGTTATGATATTGAGTTATCGTTGAGCGGAAACATAAGTACATCGGAGCTAGAAAGATCATGTTTGCTTTTGTAAATAGTTTCATTTGAGGAAAGAAAAAATATCCGACAAATTTATAGGGGAGGATTGATGAGTCAGCCGCCATGGCTGGGCTGTCGAAAAGTGTGACAGTCTTGAAAATGAAGTCGTTATCACTAACGAAAGGTGGTAGAAACAGTTGTTTGAATTTTTGCTTTGTGAGGCACTGCTTGAATGATATAATTTACTACTATCGCTGAGTAATGATAATGTTGTGTGTATTCAAACAAAAACAACGACAATATCCCTATTCTGTTAATCTTACTAGTTCTCTTTGGGCGCAAGCTAAAATTCTTTATGGGCTTTGAAAATAATGTCAAAGTAATGAAAAAGAATCGGATCAAAAATTCTCACTGTAGTCATTTGAACAAACATCTTTTCAAAATTGTTAAAAACTCTGAAGAGTTTTTAAATGGGTCTACATCACATTAAGGTGTCCTATAACATTATTTTTTCCAATCCAGACGCTCTAAAGACATCAACCTTACAAAACACCTAATTGTGAGCTTGCAACGCATAGTGCAACTTTTTATCGCAGTATGTTTGAATATTGAGCTTTTTTTGAAATTGAGAGCTATCTGAAAATGCAACTTTTTCTTTCAACGATCTCCAAGACAAACGTAAATGACGAAGAAATGGCAACATACGGAAAGGAAACGCGGAATCTGTGAGGGCTGGGCAGATCGCAAATTCGCATGACGGCATTTAAATGGGTAGAGAGAAAATTTTCGTCTATTTTCCCTGTCAACTAAATTTCGCTGGTAAAATATGCAATTCTGTGTAAAAATCCGTTGACTAACATGAGGAGTGAAGAAATATAATTTTAAAATATTATTTTATCTTTGGAAAAACTTTATGTAAATTGAGGAAGCTCAGCTAGTGGCGATCTCTAGAAATCGGTGTAACTTCTCCATTTTCAGGCTCTTCTAATATGAATGCTTCAGCATCCGTCAACAACTTCTCCAGTTCCATGTCAACCTTACCCACAGCTTCCGAAAGGTCAAGGTAAGTAATTTTATTGCATTTTCTCTGGACCTATAATTTTGAAAGGTACATCAAATCTTTGCATGTATATTTACCTATATGTACATATACCATAAAAATGAAAACGACCTTGTTTGAAAAGGTTTATGAGATGAATGTGTAGGAACATCAAGCGCCCACATAAAACCTTAAAGACCCAACTGAATAGTTTCCTGGTTTGAATAAAGAGAGAAAACAAGCAATTGGTAAAAATTGCCTGAAAGCTTCGAAATTTTCCACACTCATGCTTTCTAAAGTTCTGAAGAGAAAAACGTGTGGAAATACTCGCTATATTTATTTTCTTACCACCTATTGTCAGTCCTGCTATACCGTACCCCTAGTTACGGACGAAGAAGAAAATTAGAAAAAGGCCATATAAATTGTTTTCACTCACATAAAGGCAATCTTTCCATGCATCTAGTCTGTAGCAGTATGGTGAAAATCAGAAATCTACGGTTCGTACAATTATACAGGGCGTCCCAAAAAAATGTTTCGAACGTTTGATCGTTAATATCTCTCTTCCCAAAAAGTCTTTTGCCTTGCTTCAGGTAGCGTTTTGTAGAGCTGGCTTCAACTTAGATTTGCGTTATAGAACGAATCACCCATTTCTCTTCATTAGAAACTTGAAACATATGGTGTCAATGTGGAAAAAGCTGCCGTTTCAAAATTTTTCAAAAAAATGTGAAAACTTGTGTATTGGGGGTTTTTATGGACGCTGAGTTCAATACTCAACTAATCATAAGAATACGAAGCTTTCTAAACGGTGTAACCGCACTTTTTATAGACATTGGAAAAATGGCCGCTACCTCTTACCTGGCATAACTCTTCAATGAAGCATCATGATAACTTGGGAACTTCACAGTTATAATCAGCAACTCTAATTAGCCTAGTGTAAAAGTTTTCAGGTTGTTTAGTTTCCTTTCTGGGGCAAAATATGGCCTTGCATTGCTCAAAACCCTCTTTGAAGTTTCTACCGCAATCGTACAGTAATGAAGAGGGATGAGTGATTCGTTCTATAATGCATGTCTAAGTTGAAGCCAGCTTTACAAAACGGTACTTGAAGCAAGACAAAAGACTTCTTTAGAAGGGAGATATTAACGATCAAACGTTCGATACATTTTTTTGGGACACCCTGTATATCGTTTCTCTTTCTCCAATTGTGTTTGCCCTTAACTTTTTTGCCCAGCTGTAATGTTTTCTTTCTGTGTAGTTTCAACTCAAATGTCTTCTGGAATGTCCTAAGTAATCAGGGGTTATCCAGCTTTGTTGAGAATTCCCCCAGAATCTACAAAGTAAGATCCCGATTCTGTGTAGCAGAGATTCGCTCTGGTGGTGTTCGATACTAGTCCTCATGTCCTGTTCCCCTCTTTGATTTTCAACAATCCCTTTAAAACATGCCAACGACTCAATAAGAACAGTCTACTATATCGCCATTGAGGTAACGAGCATTTTTCGAGACAGACGTATCTATCGGTTATACATGGTGTCCCAAAATATTTAGTACGTTTAATCGCTGACAACTCTTTTGTCTGAACAGCTTTCTCGGTTTTTACGCAGTACAATTTTTGTCAGGCTGGCTTCAAATCAGATTTGCAGTGGAATACGAGCCCCTGTTCATTACTGTAGACTACGGTGAGAACTTTTGTAAGAGGCTTGCGCAAGGACACACAGTGCCTGAAGTTTTCGAAGTTTTCCGAAATAGTAAATGAACTTTTTCCTTTACAGTGATTTCTAGCTTAACAGGGAAAACGATACTTGGTGACCTCGGCCATTCACGATGGTTTGTATATCAAAAAAATGCGCCTTTTAATGCTAGTTTGAATACTGCTTTCCATATTTGCAGAACGATAACCTGGATGGAGTTATATTTATTTTTTCAAAAATGAATTGCGCTACATACTGCGGAAGATGTAAATCATTAATAAAAATTTTGCTTTCCTTTTCAAGCGCTAAATATGATTTAGATAGGTATAAATACAACGTTACACTTTCCAAGATTTTCCTCAATAGCTTCAAACGGTAAATAGATCAAATTGGGTGATTTTAACTATCTGAAAGTACGCAAATTTTTCACGAAAAAAAGTTCATAACTGCCTTCATATGATTGTTTCGCAGATTCCGAGCACAGATTTAGAATCAGCGTTTCGAGATGCACCTTATGGTATACATCGCATTCCAAGTGGTTGGGGTCACCAAGTATGCTATCCTTGCTAGAAGTTGAGAGGTTATAAAGTTAGCTTTCTCGTAGTGAATCTGATTATATTATTTGAAGCTGCTTCACGAAGAGGTATTAGGTTGTTCCGAAAGTAAATTCGCTTTTGGCACATTTCGTGGAGCAAGGTTCTCTAACAAGGGAACGATCCCAACTTAAGGTGGCGAATTGGAATAAACGGCATATCATTAGATGCGTCTTGATGAGCTGATTCCAAATCTACCTTCCACATCTGCGACAACGTTATCTGGAAGAAGTTATGAAAGGTTAAAAATGTGAAGTAACGGGGGTTTTGATGCATAATTCGCTTCAAAATCCAATTTGGGAGTGTATGACTAGCATGATATTGAGTGTACTGATTTCAAAGAATGCTCACACTCTAAAGAAACACAAATAAGTATTTTCAACAACTAATTTTCGAGGTATTGCGCTGTATATTTGTCAAATTTGGACTTTTCATTGCTTATAGCTTTTACCAAAGAACTTTAGTTGCTTTTTAGCTGTTCAAAAACATTTATTTGCATTTCTTTTGAATGTCAGCATTCCGTGAAATCAGTACACTCAATATGATGCTAGTCGTGCACTTCCAAGTTGGATTTTAAAGCAAATTATGCATCAAAACCCCCGTTACTTCACATTTTTAACCTTTCATAATTTCTTCCAGATAACGTTGTCGCAGATATGGAAGGTAGATTTGGAATCAGCTCATCAAGACGCATCTAATGGTGTGCGGTTCATTCCAATTCGCCACCTTAACTTGGGATCGTTCCCTTGTAAGATATACTGGTAGTATTCAATGCAGCATTTCACCCTCTTTTCAATGGTTTCAATTTCATAGCAGCTTGGACAACGAGTCCTCAGTAAAGCACCGAAAACTAAGATTGTTTTGTCCCTTGTAGGGTATGCTCTATTCAAATGTTACTTTGAATTTCTTTGGAGAGACAGTGCAAAAACTAGAAATAGCGAGTATCAGTTCATTTTCTCAGCTCGTTGATTATCTGGAAAAATCATCGTTAAAAAGAGGATGAAATGCTGCATAGAATGCTACCAGGATCTCTTGGAAAACTTTGTTCCACGAAGTATGGCGCTTGTACGAAAAATGCAAAATTAGCTCGAAACGACTCAATATTAATTTATTCAACCACGACCATTCGCACATTTTTAGAATTTTTTTGGAATGATAGCTGATTTGCACTGACGCCGTAGTGCTGAAAGTTCCCACCGTATTCCTACAGTAATGAGGAGAGCTTTATGAATCATACTGTAAAGCCAGCCCTAACATGCTACTCAAAGTTTCATGAAAAGTTTTCAGGCACGAAAGATGAGCAATCGATTGTACTACTCAATTCCTTGAAACACAGTGAACATACAGGGTGTCCCAAAAAAATTTGCCTACTGTTTGATTGTTAATACCTTTCTTGCCATGAAAATCTTCGCGAAAGTTGGTGCCAGTTTGTAGAGCTGGCTTTAACTTAGATTAGGGGTAAGTTGCAAATCGCCGGTCTTTCTTTTTTACTAAAAAAATTTACGGTAGGATCTCGTAGCGTATTGCATCACTGTGGGATTAGGCAATTCAAAAAAAAACTTTGAAAAAATTGGAAAATTGTTTAACAAGGTTTTTCTTTTTTGCGTGCTGATTTCATTACCTAGATCAGAGTAACTGCTACACCTAGTTTGAAATTTTTCAGCTATTTAGTTTTTTAAGAGGAAAATATGACCTCAATGACTCAAAACCTCCTCAAAGTTCCTACCGTAATCCTACAGTACATACGAATGAGTATAAAGTATAGAGCGAACAGTGGTTCGCTCTATACTTTAAATGCAAGTTGAAGCCAGCTCTACAAGATGGTGGCTAGATCTTCTTGAAAGACTTCATGACAAGAGATTTATTAACAATCAAACAGTAGGCGCATTCTTTTTGACACCCTGTACTGCCCAAATCACCTCTTTGATTATGATCTCCCCTTGTTATGCATTTATCTTTACCCCAATAGAGGAAAGAGATGTCAAAGCATTGCGTTTTTTCCTCCCTGAACAAAAAAGCAACGATGACAGGCAACGATGAATCTAGGGATTTCCCTCTTTTTCTGTTCCCATCACAGCGTAACAAGCACGCTTGTCATTTCAACGCTTGTCGGAGGGCAATGTGCTTCTGGAATCGCAATTTCGAAGGCTTTTAGCACTCACCCAGCCTTATTGCTTTCACAACGTCAGAACTGCCAAGCTTCCCATGTTAAGTGACTCTCCCATGCATTTTTGCGACATGTAAGTGCATATGTAATTCTTTTATCCCCTTAGTTATAGCGCAGCAATTTTACCCCTTCCTGAAGTTGGATTTTCTATCGCGTTTAGCCTGCGAACAAACGATACAATAATCCTATGTAGTACAGTCATAGTCAGAATAGTGACAGGCCTAAGACGGAGATAACTGTAAAACTCAAAACTACGATCGTAATGCAAGATAACAGCAGCATAGAATCAGGGACCCTGACGGCACGGCCCACTAAACTGACAAGGGAACCTTTTTTAGAAGAAGTGGCCTTTTTGGGTGGGATGTTTACCACATCAAGGAGCATGGGACGCTGATTCCAAATCTGCCTGTCTTATCTGCGGAACAATCATGGACAAGAGCCTATGAGCTTTTATTGGAGCAAAGAATTACTTATGCAACTAGGACAAAAGCTGTCGTTATATTTTTCTAGCGCTGTATTTTAGCAGTGATAGTTGTCAACTTGTTCAAAGAATGCTCTTAGATGAAGGTATATCATACTTGGTTGCTTCATTCATAAGCTAGAAAGATTTTAGCAACTCATTTTACCCTAAATCCACATTTTTTTGCTTCAATAAACACTCATAACTCTTCGTTCATGAAACGTTCTGCAGATAAGGAAAGCAGGGAATCAGCGTATCATGCTCTTTAGTATGGTATTCATTCCACCTAAAAAGGCCACTTCGACTAAACATGGTTCCCTCGTGAGGAAAGTGAGGGTTTTTCTGATTTGTGGTTCACCTTATGGAGATGTTTTTCTAGACGAGTTTACCGGGACTTTTGCTGCAGGACTTACTTCAATTCGATAAACAATCAGGAATCGCGCTATTATACTGCTTTAGAAGTCATCATTTCACTTCGAGGTAGACGGTGCTGCAGTAAACAAAGTGTGCATCTTGATTTGAGTGGTTTACTACATAACTTCGCCAGCTCAAGAACAAAAACATTTGATTTTCAGCTCACATTCAGGCTTACACAATCTTTGGAAGACTCCCACCATAGTTCTATCATTTCAGCTGTTCCGGAATGGAAGTGCATTAAAGATCTAAACACGCAGCGCTGCGTCTAAAAAATTTCCCTTTTCTTCGAAATCCCTGTGGTTCATCTGTGTTCAGAAAGTATATCAACTACTATCCATCAGAAACTCCGCTACAAACAATCAACGTTGGATCTTTATCCTTTCCCACTCTTATTCAAAACCTCGCTAAAGCTTCAAAACAAGCGAAAAAATCCAAAAACATATGCTCAGTCACCTTTTAGGAAATCCCGAGATATTGCTGCGTTCACATATTGTAAGATTAAATGCCTCATCATTAACAACTTTTGACGTGTTTTTTTTCACAAAAGGGCCTAATTCTAATTTGTTTCCATCTAGATGCTTAATCCATTGTACTTGATGGTCCACTATTTTAATAAATGGAGTCTCAAAGCCTTTGATTTTCGCTGACGCCAAGTTCGAAGTGAATCAAAAGTGCTTTTTTCATCACCAGCTCAACCTGCGTTCATCATCTCAAAACTTTATTGAAAAGTTGGCGGCTGTGATGCCAACATGATTTGGTTTACAGCATTTCGGAAGTGACAAATGCTTTGTTTCGGTAGTTTGTTCAAATAGACAGAGGCAATGGAAGAGAATGGGTGCCGTTATCGAGGAATGTTAGCGTTTTTCTTTCGAACTTGCAGACATTTCTCCGCTTGGCTTGAATACCGTTTTTTATGCGTGCTTTTTGTTTTGCTACTTACCATGCGAAAAACGACATTGTACTTGAATGTCGTCGATACTGAGAGAACTTCAAAATCTAAGATTTTCATTTCGTAGACAAAAATTCAGGTTGGGACCAAACACTGTAAACAAACGCGAACACCACCACTTTGTCCATAGGGTAGAAATCATGAGCTAAAAAAATTTGATGGTTTGTATGAAAGAACAACCTAATACCTTGTGAGTTTATTAGATCTTTGAAATTTGTTTGGACACATCCGAGTGTGTTTTGAGACGAGTAATTGAACAAGATATAAGAAAAAAGGATACTTCAACTGCAAATTGAGCATAGATTTGCAACTTCCAAGATACGTGAAGTACTGCCTAATTTCATTAGGTCATCATTTATGTTTAGGGATGCGATGATACCACGTTCGAGACCGTTGCTCAGAGGACATGCAGTATCGACTGTCAATCCGAGGATGCTGTGAGTTTGTAGGCCATTCAAAAATTTTCAGACAGCCTACACAGATCAGTTCTATTTTTTTGGGGGATCCAAGTCAGAAAAATCGCAAAATTCTTAAGCTTATCAAAAAGTCATAATATTGAAGTGTTTAATAGGAAAACAAAGTGAAAAGGATGGATTGGTCCGAACATTACAGAAAACAGCTGCACCCCTACCTCGGATGGAAAATGCGGGTTGCGACGTGTTATCCTACACGAAACCGTTCTGCCCTTCAAATAGGTCCAGAGTAATTTTCACAAAATCGGATGTTGAGTTTTCAAAAAACCATACAAGGATGCGAAAATCCATAAAATGTTCCACGTTTACTTTCATTAGGGTTGTCACTAAATCGCCACGACGTAAAAATTGCGATGAAACCCTCTCATGTTCACAATATGACAGATTCGGATTTACGGAGCAGGAACTAAAGATTGCGACAATTTCATCATTATTTTATGTTACGTCGCGACAAATCAGTGAAAATCTTTTCAGTAAACGTATTTTCAGAACTTTTAATGGTTTTTCGAGTCCTTATATCACTAGCTTTTCAAAAATGTACATCTCATCCCATGAAAATCGTTTCGTACCAATTACGGAGTTCCGACGGTTTCGTCAAGATTGGTACCCGCAACCCATCAATGCCCGAGTTATGGGCTGCTTTGTTGAAATCTTCAAAATCATAGTGCATGCCTAAATCTTGCTGTGAACAGCAACTTGAGGGAGCGATTTCGCAAGCCCGTAAAGGATAGACATAGAAGTACGAAAATTATAGTTAGTTCTATCACTTCTTATCAATTTTATCGCCATTTTACTTTCGGTTTTCAACTTGGTAGAATCAAATCATTCTATAATAATCCATACAGATTTTTTCTGTTTTACTGCCTAAGGTTACCGTTACCACCGATACCCCTTCTCTCCGACTTTTTGGGGAATTATGCAGCACATCGAGTGGTCCACGTTACGAACGAATGCTTGTGCCCCCAAAATACCGATCGTGGTACATCGAATTCTTGAAAGTGTTGTTTTTATCGATTTTCGTACTCTCAGGATATCTATACCATCGATTTTCGAGCCTAAAAAATACCCATTTCGTCAATTTTTGAACCTACAGACTACTAGCTTTTGGTATTTGGAGCCTGCAAAATATTGATATTGATAGATTCTCCTGCCCTTAACGTATCCGTTTTATGATATTTTGAGTCAAATTACCAATTTTTGATATAACTGGCATTCAGATTATAGTAATGGTTTTCCTTCGAAATACCAATTTTTGGCACCATTACCCTCTAAAGTCTAGATTTCATCGATTCTCAAGCCCCCAAAGTATCAACTTCGCAACATCTCAATGACGGAAGAGTTCTAGATGTGTCTTTTTCCGGAACAACCAGAGAATTTAAAGTGGAATTCCACGAAATGTTGCTGAGTATTTATTGTTCATTATCTTAGACTACTGTATTCTTGAACTTCTTTTAAAGCGTAGTGCACTTTCAAAAAACCGTGCTATTCCCTTTTCCGTATTAGACAAGTATCAAGGATGTAGCACTGGTAATGTATGCAATATATACAATTTTAGTGTGAATTAAATTGAAAAACCTAAAAATTTGAGGGACGTAAAGTTTTGCGCCACTTGCTACTCCACTCGCCATCCAGATCGCTTTTGCTGTTTGTTTTGAACAAATCATGCACAACTTCCTCCAGAGCATTCAAATGAAGATGCGCTTACACCGAACAAATACTGCCATCTTCCTTCCCCAAATCGCATCTTATGCTTTTTCATTCATTTACTTTATGAACTGCATATAGCCAAACATCTCCCGATTCAGAATGGGGAACCGCATCGTCCTTTTTCTCCCATTCAAATTCTATGAGCTGCTATTTTCAACGTCAAAGTCGATATGACAGCCGCGAAAGTACTAACTCTTCAGCGAACGCCCTTCTATCCATCACAAACTTGACAGAGAGTTTTCTATTCCCTGGGTATGGCTCTCTTGGGCCTCGATTCTTATGATTTATCCTCAACGTTATGCAAACCAATGCTAATGAAAAATCTTTCTATTATAATCTTGTGATAGACGATCCTAATTCCGAGAAACTACCAACTTTCAGTCAATTGTTTTCTATTCCTCATGTCCTCTCATTCCTATGAAACTTCAGAAATAACGCAGCGCAAATGCAATTTTTAATGTAGGGCAAGGAATGTAGAAAAAATGATAAACAGGTGCTTTGGAATTTCTTTTTCCTTTTTGGAAATTGAATCTGATCTTGCTGCACTACTTTTATAAAAGACATCTACAATAAGAAATAAGAGAGTGTGCAGAGAGTTTGGAATAAAGTTGAATTAAAAGGTGATTTTTACATAATTTCCCCGTAAGCAACTTGATTTGAATTTGATTTCAGAATTGTAGAATTTTTAACTAATACAGCTACATGAGCGAAATAATTATCTCATTTTTTGAACCTAAATAATAAAAATATTCAAATGTTGTTGATTCCAGCTGCATCTAGGGTTCTACGGTAGGGATGATAGGAAAAAGTCATGATAGGAAAAAGTCGAGTAAATGCTCATTTTTACCCTATAACCTGTCACAAAACATGTCTAATTTTGCAACTTCTATAATAGAATCATACACATACATAAGTTTTTATCATTTTTTATCAATGATTTTTATTACTAAAATCACAAAATCTGTCTTAATGTACGTGTACTTTAGTTTATCAAGGCAAATTTTTTTGGTTTAGTCACGAAAAAGTCTCAAAAACATCCTCGCTGTGTCCGGAGGATGTTTTGAATGACCACAGTCTTCCAGTTAGCTTAACTTTCATCTTTTTGAGCTCTTCTTAATCTTTCGTTGTATCGTGCTAGGTTCTTGTGCGTCTCGCTCAGAATAATTTATGATGGAAAGGTGACTTTGTGAGCTATGCTCTTTCTCCCAAAGCATGCTTTCAGCAGAGGAAATACTCTTTGGTTGTTTGGTTTTCTTTGTCAAACCGGCCTCATGCAGGCTTGAGCAAAGTTTGAGCCTTTCCGAGTTTTTTTTTAACTTTATCCATAAGCAAATTTCTCTTGAAATGACTGAACATAGTGGTCGATGTGAACCTAAGTTAATTCCCTGATGGTCTAGTATAATTATCTTGGTCTTATAGATGTGCATTTGTATGAAAAATAGCTTTAATAAGTGTTCTCTTCCTCTGGGCTCATCTTATTGTCTACCAAGGCTATCTCAAGCTCAAATTTCTGTTATTGCCACAAGTACAGAAGACCTTTTTTGTTAGCTAAGTAAACGCCGACGCCATATCTCAGGGTACCCGGCTCTCTCATGGCTCAATCACGCCCGCGAAATTAAGTTCATGAATTCATTCGTATAAAGTGCTGGTCTCTGAATCATGGCTAATATAGCTAATCTAATCTGTTAGTACTCCTTGAGTCCACGGTTTCTTGCAATGGTTATCCGCCTAGTCTGCTCCTTATGGCCTCGGGATTTCGATCGCTACGCGATCTGGCATTTTGCCAGATGTCCTAAAATGCAACTTTTGCGGAATTCAAACTCACTGTATGTATGACTTGCGCATATTGACAAAGTGCCTTATCTTCTGTAAATTCATGATGAGCTTATGATGAATTATAGACGATTGGAGCATTGCCAAATCGCGTCGCGACTGAAATCGTGTGAACTATGCCCGAGGAATATAGCGTTCACTATTCTGAAAACTTTAGCATTTTGAAATTTCTTTGCATTGACAACTGCTGCCATGTCAGCGTATCTGTTATTTGAAGGAATATATTTACTTCAAACGTCTAAAGCAAATTCGTACAGCGATTTCACTCCAACTCAACTCGAAAATTCTTTTCTTTCGTTATGCTTTCCACCATTTTGCGATCTACTCAGGTTGAACTATGCAAAGCATAACTATTGGTTTGGTCCGAAAGTGCGTGCCGTTTTTAAGACCCATGCTCAAAACCGCTTGAATTAATGATAGACAAACGCTATAAGCAAATTTCGATGCAAAATCTTCCTCTTTTTAACAGTTATGATCCTGTTCAGATCCCTTTGATGTCCACTCAAACAATCGCCAGAATCTCCGGCCTATGGTTTTTACCCATCTTGAATTTCAGTATTTCTTAGAATTTTCATCATCAACTTTGAGATTAGCTTCCGTAACAGTAGGTAGAATAAACAAAATGAAATACAATGAACTAGTTTGGCCCCTTCAACTTGCTTTTCAGTATTTCTTAAAATCATTTTTCCATACCGACCACTTTTGCGAAGTTATGAGATCGCCGTTTGAAAAATTGATAAATTCTTGGAATTTGAAGCTCTCGATAGTTTATGACTTTATAACTTAACGTTGATTTTAGCAAGCAACTCGGTGTTCAGCGATTTGAAGTACTGGATTCCGAATTTTTTGGCTACAGGCTGGGACGAGTCTGAAAACAAGAATTAAAATGATTTTATCCTCAAATATCATACAAATCAGGAAAAAAAGCAGAAACAGGGGAAGAGGCTGCATTAAATGACACCTAGGTTGCTCGCACTTTGTAGTCTTGTGAAGATTGGTATGCCAGAATTTGGAAATTAATAGCTTCCAATTCCAAGAATTTATCAATTCTTCAAACGGCGATCTCATAACTTCGCAAAAGTGGTCGATTTGGAAAATTGATTTTAAGGAATGCTGAAAAGCAAGTTGAAGGGGCCAAACTAGTTCATTGTATTGAATCGGAAAAATATTCCCAAAATTTTTGAAAAGCCAGCTAGAGATGCCAAAGAGATGTATTGATTGCATTTTGTTCATTTTATCCAACTGTTATCAAAACTAAAACTTTCAAAAATAGCCATCTCGGAATGTAAAAGACAGTTGTTGGAGATTCTTACGATTATTCGAGCGGATACCAAAGGAATCTGAACAGAACCAGAACCATTAGAAAGGGGAAGAGATTTTGCATCGAACAGCTTAGAGCGTTTGTCTGTCATGTAATTTGAGCA